CCTGGAAATGGCTAAAAAAAAAAAAAAAAAAAAAAAAAAAAAAAGAAGTCCGGGCCAGAGTGCACCAGGTATTTTGGCGAGGGGACACAGGGCTCTCGTTCTCAGTTCGTGGTGTCAGAAGTTTCAATGTTTAAGGGATGGCGGCTGGTAGTCTCGTGCATTGCAGCCAAAGCTTAGAAATGAGAGGGACAGGACGAGAGAGGGACACACCAGACGGACCAAGTCAGCCAATTCTTCTACTTGAACAAGCAATCCAAGCTGCTGCTGACCCGACAACAACTTGTTTACATCTATGACTTTCCGGAGCAGAAGGAACTGGATGGTTGCTTTCCAGAATAAAATGGAGCCATAGGGTCATATATTTAGAACAGAAAAAGGGAAAAAAAAGGGGAAATTGGTGTTAAGTTGTTAACTGAGCTCTGGGTTGATGTCAAAATATCAGAGAGGAAGAATTGCCGACGTTGGCAACATCATTGCTAGTTCTCCCCAATTCTCCACCAATGTCTCATACTCTTGTATCGGAGATTTCTCTGCCAATACTGATGTATGCACTGTCGTATGTGTGATGCATGCCGTTTGGATAAGATTCTGGTACAACCTTTGGCATGGTTCCTGGGCCGCATAGGACGTAAGTTGGTTATATGTTTGAAGTTTCCGTTTCTCTCTCTCAGGAAAATCCATATACCCTTTCACCCATTGGTTGAAAAGAATCACAGACTTTTTTTTTTCATTTTCATTTGAACCACCAGTTCAAAGGAGCCTAAGTTGTCCAAGCTAAATTACAAGGCTCACGAGCCTGTTCCGCCTTTTTAAAGGGGCCTGCCACTTTCGCTACCGCCCCAGGCCCGAATTGGAAAGCTCTTATCGCGTAAACCGGTAAGAGCTGTACTCTGCTTCGGGTGAACTGGGGGTTTAAGATAAACAAACGAAGATGCATATACGAAGGGAAGCCCCAAAGGAGTTGTCGACCAAGTTCATGAATACTCTTGAACTCTTTTATTTCCCATTTACGAGCTGATCGAGAAAAAAAAAGTGCTTAATGTTTCCTTCTGTTGACGTGATGATCTGTTTGCTGGTGTGCTGTTTTACAATGATGCGATGCAGCTGCGGCAACGTTCATGTTCATGTATGTCCCGGAAATGGACCAGGATGCAGTCCAGAATACTAGTCTGCTCCATGAGAGGACAACTGAGCTTCCTTCAGATTACCCATTTCCTTTTTATGGAGCGGATGTCTCTAGCTTCAACATGAGCGAAGCTGGTATGGATGCGGCTCTTTCTTTAAACCACCTGAGTCACATGACGAGCCAGTTATTGATATTGCCAATAACATGGTGCCCCTTCTTTTGTTCTAGGGCTTGTGATTGCCTGCTGGTTCATAGTTGCCGATTTTCTGTTCCGAACGTCACAGGAGTCCAGACACTAACCACTGACTTACGCCTGGGGAACTTGTAACGCAACTCTTGCAAACAAAACAGAACAAACTCTTGAAATGACAACTGCTCACAAATTATTCATTCAGAATGTTCAATGTTGCCAACACACTTTTTTTTTTTTTTTTTTTTAATCAAACAGTTCGTTATGGGTCTGGCTCCTTTTCCATTCTGGGAGTGTCAGTCCGGTTCCTATTGCCCCGGCAAGTGAAGATTGAATACATTATGAAAGCACGCTCACGCTTCCTTCCATATGGCTGAAGGATCCCTGACCAGCATTGATTGCTCCCCTGGAGGAGGATTGACTGTCAGCTTGGCCTATCCACTTGTTCCTCTCAGGTTCCCTTCTCGGGCCTGTCAAATAAACCTATTCAACCAGGACAAGTGGTAGCATCTGACTCCAGACACAATTCTGAGTCTCCCTCTCCAAGGCACTAGACTAATACCCTTGTTGCTCAGCATAGGACACTGTCGTCGGTGACGGAACTATTCCACTGGTCGTGAGGTGTCCCGGTCTTCTCCTATCTCCTTACGAGTTGTGCCAGTCCTTCCACCGTATATAGGAGTTGTTTATCTCTGCAACTTTTCGATCCACCAGGCAGAACTTTGACAGAGCTCTGCGCTGTTGCTCGTCCTCGTCTGGTAGGGGAAGTCTTGTCTTATGCCACTTGCGTAGAATCTCTGCCTGGATCAAAGTTTTTGTTTCCGCCCACACCTTTTCCCTTGAATTTGACGCGCCCTCAATTGTCCTGCAGCATCTTTCCTTCCAGATGGTCCACAATGTCACCTTCCTGATCATTCCGAACCAGATATTCTGTGTCTTGTTCAGCTGGGTGGGGATGTTAGTTCATCGGAGAAGTTGGAAGGAGTGTTCAGGGAGGGGAGTCGAGAATAGAGAGTCCCAGAGGCTCCATGCCCTGGCCCAGTACTCCGTCGCTTCTCCACAGCGTATTAGACAGTGCAGCATATCTTCTGGTTCGTTATCCGAGCATACTGTACATGATTCTGAGCTGTTAGGATTGTTCTTATGTCGCCGAATGTGCAGCCATTGATTAACCGGTAGTGCCACGTAGGCAATTAGCCATTGAAGACTCTTGATCTTAACTGGTCTGATTGACTTGAATATTTTCCATGGGATTTGTGGCATCTGACTGGCGTCCTGACCCATTACTTTGGACCATAATTGCAAGCGCATGTCGTGCGGGCGGTTCCCTACGTGCGGCGCACGCGCCCAACCGATCCCGTGTGGCGCATGACGTGTGCGGGGAACGACCCGTCACCCCCCTCAGAAAAAAAAAGGCCGGGGTCGAAACGGTGCGTTTGAGGCCCCCCACCGATATTATAAGCGAGATGAAAAAAAAAATTACAGGAGTACTGCCTCACCTTGCTCCTCCTGCCCTTCCTCATCCTCCTTGTCTCCTCCTCCTCCTCGTACTTCCTCATCTTCCATGCCTCCTCGTCTCCTTCCCTTCCTCGTGTCCTCCCCTTCCTTTCCGTCCATGTCTCCTCCTCCTTCCACTCGTCCTCCTCCTCCTGCCCTTCCCCATCTCGACTCCTCCTCCTCCCCCATCTCTTCTCCTCCTCCTCCGTCCATCTCTTCTCCTCCCCCATCTCGACTCCTCCTCCTCCCCGTCCTCGCTATCCTCGTCGTCCTCCTCGTCCGCATCCTGCTCCTCCTCTCCATATCCCCCTCTCCTCGCCATATCCCCATCTTTCGGTCATACGCCCCCCCGTTCTGCAATGAACCTAGATCGTGAAGACAGTTGTCAACAATGCAAGCCCAAATGAATGTCAACCAGCTGATGATTACCAATAGTCAAAGTCGTGTCCAGACAGAATGAGATGAGATAACCATACACAGATGAAGGAGAGAGGAGGGAGATTAGACAAAGGAGAGGAAATAAATACAAGGCCTACTGCTGCTTCGGGCTCCCTCCTCGATCACCACCTCAACAATCAATAGTCTGAATGAGTATCTGAAGTAACCTCAATGTGCCACGTGGCAAGTCTAATTAGTCCCTCATCAGCGCTGGAGCAATGTCGACATGAAGACAATAAGGTAAGTATCCACAATCTCTCTCCACAGTCCTGATCTTCTCCTGAGTGACGATGAATAAGAACAGCAGTGTCGGTCACATGGCCCAGCCACGTCAGCAGATATAACACGTGGCAGCGGCCACGTCAGCAGCAACGCGTGGCAGCTGCCACGTCAACATGCCAAGAAGACAGGTGCAAGCCAGCCACCATGCCGGACCAGCAGCGCGTCACCGTAGACACAATGCCGGCACAAAGCCAGCGCTCAACCAGCATCACAACGTCGAGCCAGAGTCGTTGTCAACGCGTGAAGTCAGCATCGACATAAGGCTGAATGAATGTCAAAGCCAGGAAGTCAGCGCTTAAGTAGTGTTGACGCCGGGTTTGGACCCCGGATGCTGCATCCCTCAACCGTCCAGATCTCAATGCAAACGAGGGCCCAGATTGGTCTGAAACCGAATTCCCTCCGGCCTGGATGCTATCTGGGTACCTGCGCACAACAAGTGAGTGTATCCAACCAAGGGCCTGGGTGCGGTACCTTTGACTCTACAGTTGACTTTGACCCTTGAATTTCCTGTGTGCAGCGTTCGGTCACACAGCCATACGCGACAGACTCAGGTCTGGGCGTGTCTTGGTCACACAGCCCAGTGCAGACCAACTCAGGTCTGCGTTGCCTGGGGCTGAGTTCTGGGCCCCAGGCTACTTCTGAACAGGGTTACTACAGTTCCCCCTCCCAAAAAAAAAAAAAAAAAAAAAAAAAAAAAACTGCACGATTCCGCACAGGCACCCCCCGCACGGAACTCCGCACAGAACTCCGTACGAATGTGCGGCTCGTGCGACCATCTGTTCTTGATTATGAGGTCCGGGTCCTTGGTTTTGAGCAATAGCCTGTAGCCCAGTTTGGCTGAGTAGTCCTGTATGTGGGTGCCTGTCTTGACGGTTTTGTTTCTTCCTGGTGTCCAGGCCCATTCCGCCGGGCGAATTCCAGGTCCTGGATTGTTGTGTCTATTCTGAATATTGTTTTGGACCATGAACCCATGACTCTTACTTTCCTGAAGAGGAACAGATCGAGAACTATTCTTTCTACGCCCTTATTCAGAATGGACGTGGAACTGTGCGCTGACAGTGTGACTGGAAAGGCTGTAAAGACAGCCAGGGTCTGTGTTACATGCCCAGTTGGGCGATGTACATAATAACCGAGGATCCGCAATGTGATAAAAAGGACTGAATAGTGCAAGTGAAATCTCAACAAGCAGTGTACATTCTGATACATACAAAAATGGTGCTTTATAGCGCAGGGAAGACTTAGATACAAGTCCTGACCTGACCGAGACTGACCTCTATCACGTAGTGCAAGATAGTGTAGCAGAATGCTAGAATATCAATGACTAGCCCAATCCATGTTGCAACGCAGACTAAACATACATCATTCTCATCACAAGGTGTGAAGAGACCTGGCGCTATACACAGGAAGAAGGCACCAGGTCCTGATCATGCACAGACGAAGAGGAGGGGAACAGACTAAGAGGAGGGGAACAGACGAAGAAGAGGGGGAGAGATGGGAATGTCGTCAGCACCAAGTCTTTGTCACAAGTCCCAAATAATCCCTCGTCAAAATGTCTGAAGCCCAAATGTCGAGTCTGGATCCAAATGTCACCAAGCTCTCTCTTTCTCTCGTAGTCTGCTGATGCAGTGAAGTCAGGTAGCGAAACGGTGAGAGGGAGATGGTGGACTGAGAAGAGGAAGAAGAACAACTCTCTCTCTCTCTCATATGCCACGTACTAACCTGTGAAGATGGCGCTGTGCTGCAGGTACCTCGAAGGCGCAACTGGAGCTATGGCGCTGCAGGTAAGTATCTCTGGCCTCCGCCCAATCTCTCTCTCTCTAGTACTACTCTAGCTCCTATGGCGCCCAGCGCTGAAGACTACTGCTAACGCTACTAGCGCCCAGCGCTGAAGACTACTGCTAGTGCTACAACTACTTCTGCAGCGCTCCTCCAGAGTGCTGCTGCCGAATCCTGAAGACTACCTCCTGCCTCCTGAACTGCACGTGAAGTGCCTGGGAAGTACCTAGGAACTACCTACTGGCCTGCAGGGCGGGCCAGCCCTATATAGTGTTGGCCCATCCAGGAGGCTGCTCTTGCCAATGCCGAAACGTGCCAGACCCTGGCGTTGAAGCTCAACTTGGGGTTGTCTTGAAAACAGGCCTGAAATGGCCTGTGCTAAAACTCTGGTTTGTTGCCTGAGTTTCAGGGCCGGTCGGACTGATGAGGGCCTGAAAATGGCCCTCAGTTTCAGGCTGAAAATACTCAAGCCTTGAAAGACCCTGATTTAGCCTGAAACGACACAGGGAATGTAGGCCCTTGTTTTCGGGCTTTGAGGCTGAAACGACACAGGGCCTGTAGGCCCTTGTTTTCAGGCTTTTGGCCTGAAAACGTCATGGGCCTGAAAGGGTGCCCATGCAGCCTGTTGCAGGCGCAGTATGTAACACCCCCCCCTCCTTATGAAGTCAAGCCGGGGCGAGGGCAAAGATGACGATCTGAAGGTGGAACGTGGATGCGGGTGCGACGTGGAGCCGAAGATACCGGCTTGCCTTGCATCTTGTGTTCGTAGCGTGCGAGAACATCCGGAGTTGTTGCTTGGAGTTCCGCACGGGTCAACCATCGGTCAGCTCTGTGACTGCAGTACGCAAAGTGTACCAAGTACTCGGTTGGCCTATTGCCGTAGCGCCGCTGGGAGATGATGTCGCCGACCTCTTAAAAAACGTCCATAGAGGGTGGGTCTTGCGATCGTCG